TTTATTAAACAAATTCCCCACCACCGTGCCTCCTTAGGCACAGTAAAGCACAGTGCAGTGTGTGTGTGTGTGTGTGTGTGTGTGTGTGTGTGTGTGTGTGGTGGGAAAGGCACAGGCTGAGCCCAGTGCCGAGCTGCTCTGAAAGCCCCAGGCTAATTGCCCGGACGTCAGCAGGAGCGTTCTCGTTGGCACCCACCTTTGGCCCCATCTGGCCACCAAGCTGCACTGTTCGTGGCTTAATATTCTTTGAATCAACTCACCTTTTCTTCTACACCGACTCTGACCTCACGCTGCATTTCCTGCATTCTGACTGATAATAAGCAATAATACCTGAACATCCACAAGTGTTAGATGTTACCTAGAAGTAAAACCTTGGATCGTGAGGAAATTCTGCCAGGGTCCCGCAAGACGAGCAAACATGTCTAATAAATTTTAACCTGATAAACGAGCGCTGTCTTGCCTTACGGGTAGCACGTGACGCCGAACGTCACGTGATCACACCTGAGCCAACGGTTCTTGGAATTCACCCTGATATGCAAATGCTTTGGGTACACGCATGTTTCCGGAATGAGTTATGCTCGCAAACCAAGGTTTTACTGTATTTTATGTTGAGTAGCATCGCAACCCGCATTTTAGTCGCCCTTAAAAGGCATAACTGTTCTTAGAAGCATTTACCCAGTAAGACAAGTACATGGTTCTGTAAATCAAAGTAATTCATCCTGTGCCACCCCAAATGACCTGGCACAACTGTGAGGTTCACGTAACACGCTTTGGGAGGTGTAGACGGGAAGCCTGATGCTTCCCCCAATGCGCTACAGGCCGTATCCGCTTCCCAGGGCTCTTCGAACAAAGTAGGACGCGCTGGGTGGTGTCCCCCACTTCTTGAGGTGTGACATCTGCCGTCAAGGTGTCTGCTTCCTTCTGAGAGTCCTCCTGAGGCCCGTGAGGGAAGGGCCCTCTGTTCGGCCCGCGCTCCCCCATGTGTGTCTGTGTCCACATTGTTTCCTTTTTATGAGGACACCAGTCCTACGGGATCGGGACCCGCCCTCACGTCTCATTCAACTTGATCCCCTCTGTTAAGACTCTAGCTCCAAATAAGGTCACGTTCTGAGGACCTGGGGTTTAGGGCTTCAACACATGAATTTGGGGGACACAATTCAGCCCATCACCCAGGCCCTCCCCAAATCCACCTCTGCTTCATATCCCTTGACAGGCCAGTTGACTTCTAATTTTTTTAAGACATTCTTGAAAAACTAAAAATTTTAATTTTTAACAATTTAATGTTTTAAATTTTAATTTAAAATTTAATTTAATGTTTAATGTTTAATTGTTTTAACGTTTATTTATTTTTGAGAGAGAGAGAGCATGAGCAGGGGAGGGGCAGAGAGAGAGGGAGACACAGAATTCGAACAGGCTCCAGGCTCTGAGCTGTCAGCACAGAACCCGACCTGGGGCTCAAACCCACAAACCGTGGGATCATGACCTGAGCTGAAGTCGGGCACTTCACCATCTGAGCCACCCCAGCGCCTGTGTTCGATCAACTCTTCAAACACCACTATTTTTGCTTTAGAAAGTCAGTACCTTCCAGAGTGATTAAAAAGAAGAAAAACGAGGGACATCTGGGTGGCTCAGTCTTCCGACTTGGCTCAGCTCATGATTTCATGGTTTGTGAGTTTGAGCCCTGAATCGGGTTCTCTGCTGTCAGGGCAGGGCCCACTTTGGGTCCTCTGTCCCCCTGTCTCTCTGTGCCCTTCTCCTGCTCGCATGCTCTCTCTCTCTCTCTCTCTCTGTCTCTCTCTAAAAAGTAAACATTTTCTACAAATAAGAAAAACAATGCCCTTTATATTTACCTTACTCTCTGGAAATCCTCACTGTTTGGTGTAGATCCAAGTCTGTTAACACGTTCCTTCGTCTGAAGAATTTCCTTTAGTTCTTGTGCTGCAAGTCTGCAGGAGATGAATTCTCTCCATTTGTGTCTGTTTGAACAAGTCTTTATCTCTCTTGCGTTTGTGAAAGATTTTTTTCTCTGGGTATGGACTTGGGGCTTGCCAGTTCTTTCCTTTGAGTATTTTAAAAACATTATTATCCCTGGCTGGCATAGTTTCTGACAAGACATCTGCTTGGATTCCTATCTCTGTTTCTCTGTAAGCTGTGTCCTCAATTTTCTTTCTCCTACCTTTGTAGCAGTTAGAATATGTTGTGTCTAGGAGGGTTTTTTTTTTGGGGGGGGGTAGGTTTTTCACTTATCCTGCTTGGGGTTCTCTGAGACTTTTTGATCTGTAGTTTGATGTCTTTCATTATTAGGAGATAGATATAGATATAGATATAGATATAGATATAGATATAGATAGATAT